AAATGGTTATTTCCTAGTCATCAGCTTTTACATTAAACAGCTCTATCTTGTCAGTTTGAAAACTGCATAACAAACGTTTTACTACAAGGTGTCAGATTAATCATGCTTTCCAGCTGCAAAAAGGCTTTAAAACATTTTCCTGTATAAGAAGCGACAGGAGGGAAGGTCAAAACAAATGAAGTCTCATTCTTTAGAACTTTAGCTAAGGATGGATGAGCTCGTGCCCTTTGCAATAATTCTTTTCTCAGATCAACTAGGAATACATGATTTCTCMCATCAGTCAACCCTGGATTCAACATTTTTGTGTATTAGTGGCTTTGAAATGTTTTCCATCTTTACATGCCCATGAAAACCCCATACTTCTGGATCATTTCTTGTCATCAACTCATAATCTGATCTGGCCTCAAATGATCCACAAAATTCTTATCTGGCTGAGGCTATTTTTTATATAAATTGTAGCTTTGACTGTTTGAGCCATCTTGAAAGTACTCTTTTGGGATTTCTTTCTGCCCAAATTTCCAGGCTCAAAGGCTTCGTAAGCTGGCCCAACAAATTTCCAACTGCAAGCAGTGCATCGAGAGGTCCTCCGCCCTCATCACACAGGCTGATCAGACGCTAAAAGAAACCGATCACGCTCGCTTCCTGCAGACAGCCAAGAGCATCAACGAGAGGTCAGACAGCCTACACTCTGCCCACACATGGCACAGTTGTTCAGCCCACCACATTGCCATCTAGCTTAAATATGAAAGTGTGCAAACACACCGAGAGCCAGTTTGAAAACTTTAAAACAAGTGAGGAGGGAATTCCTGTCTTATTCAGCCTTATCTTGTTTCACGCTCTCCTTCAGCTTTTTGAATAATTGATTTGGCACTTGAAAGCAGAACCTAGTGTCCATTATGGGCTTTCTCAGGAGAAATGATGGGGCGATTTAAAAAATAAATCATTATCCCTTAGTCCCTCAAACAAAAACTGTTTTTTTTTTTATCAAGATCCAATCCAGAGAGCTTCATTTATTAGGACAGAAGGTCCACAGGATCCAGTCTTTGTCTGAAATGTTCAGAACTTCTCAAGTGMCCAGTTGGTATTTTTGACAGTTGTCTAAACCACATTAATTGACCCTTTCTGATGTAGTGAAACAGGCAATAGACACCGGTGTAGGCGTTTCTGGAATGCAGGGAACCACTGCACAGTCCTTATACTAATTTAAGTCAGTTTGATGTTACTGTGATGGTTAAAAGCCAACATAACATTTATTCAATGCTCCTACTTCAGAGTATAGATGCTTTCTTAGCTCAGTAAAGACTCTCAAGGGATGTAACAGGTTGTCAATGGTCCATCCATGAATGTAAGTTTATCAACAGGGCAAAAAACTGCCAATACTTTTAAAATATTTACAATATTAGAATTGCATTTGCATTTCCTCTATTGCTGTTGGTGGTGAAGTGGATGCACCGACTGTTGGACACATATACAGTAGGTTATTATAACCACGTCATAGTTGGACTAATGGTCCTTATATACCTCAGAGAGTTCATGCAACTGTTTAGTTCAAGAACACCTTAAATCTGRATTCAGTGTTTAGGTCAAGATGGGATTAAAGACATGCTATACATTGCCAGGTATAGCATTTTGCTCAATTCTGACAGACAGCACCTCAATCAGTGGCGGATGCCGGTCTTTCAAGAAGAGGAAGCTCAGTTTCGGTCTACACAATAAAATGTGTTGGTTTATAAATTCTACCCTCCATTCCTTTTCAAGAAAATGATCTGTGACCCTGTCACAGATCATTTTTCATATTTGATTTTTTTTTTACATTTTAGGGGAAGCTGAGCTTCCCTTGCAGATCAATCGCCTCTGACCTAAATCCCCAGCTATAGCACTGATTTTCATGCCTCTCTATTGGGTAGCGACTCAACTGTTTTTTCCAATCATTTACCAAAAGATCATACATGAACAGTTCATAACTGATTTTGCTGACAGCTAGAAACTAAAAAGAGAGAAGTATATTTGCAGTTTTNCTATTTACAAAAAAATATTAATTTCCAACAATAATAAACCAAATAATGAAACAAAGTAAAAAAAATTCAACTCCTCAAACAGTGACTCATACAAATTAAACAATTTCACATTTCTTTAACAATTTTGCTTTGATCATTTTTAAAGGAATTAATTGATCCAATGCTTTTATAATAATTTTCCAGATCATTCTACAGTCTTACAGCAGCCAGCTCACTTTGTCATACCAGGACAGCTGAAAAGACCTGTTATTTCCCCACTGTGGGATCAATACAAAGTTTTTTTTTTATCTTACTTTCCCCCTCCTTTTGCACCAAATTAATCTGAGGAGTTGATCTGCCCTGCTGTTTAACTCTGTTTTTCTGTCTTTGCAAGGAAGACCATCAAATGGCTTCACCAAAATCAGGTCCACAACGTTCAAACCGTCTGCCATATGTGCAGCTTGCTACCTAACTAGCTCGCTACTAGCGAGTTGCTAGCTGGGACTGGCATGAGGCTAGTGTGTCTGCCTGTGAGTGCTTTGTGACGGTGAAAGGGCTCAGCACAGCACGCGCTGGACAGAAGTCAGAAAGAGTGATAGAAGTCCGTCTCCAAACACAAGCAGCTACAAAACAACCACCAGAAATAGAAGCTCGATTTGTTGCTAGTCATTTTTAACAAAGAAAATGCTGCTAAAAGAATTAATAAAGTCTCCAGTTCAACTCGGAACAGAAACGAAAGTAAAAACTGCTCCCACGGAATGTTTACACTAAAAGATCACTGATTCGCTCATTTCGTTGTCAATCAAAATGGGATTCAGCCTCAGACAGATCATCCAATCATCATGCAGAAGCTGAGCATCCAAGCCAGCCGAGGCCAGCCCCCTGTCCCATAGACCCCCAGAGACGCTCAGTGTCCGATGGGTGGGACAAAGCCGGTACTTATCCAATGACTCGTCTTGTTTTGCTGCAGTCTTTGCATCGCTAATGAGCTCTGTGGAAGCTCAGCGTCCACTGTTTAAAGCGCTGTGAAGCTGCAGGAATGAAGGAGAGGAAAGCTGTGTCGTTACTAATGATAAAAAAGCTGATTCTGAACAAAAATTTAGCATGTTGTAGCGCATATTTAGTCAATGATATGTACACACAACAGTATATATTTGATTTTTTTAAAACATTTTAGGGGAAGCTGAGCTTCCCTTGCAGAGCAATCGCCTCTGACCTCAATCCCCAGCTACAGCACTGATTTTCATATCTCTCTACTGGGTAGCGACTCAACTGTTTTTTCCAATCGTTTACCAAAAGATCATACATGAACAGTTCATAACTGATTTTGCTGACAGCTAGAAACTAAAAAGAGAGAAGTATATTTGCAGTTTTYTAGTTCATCATAAAAGTCAAGCTAGATTTAGATATAAAAAAGAGATCTCTTGCATTCACTGGTAAGGGTAWTGTGCATCTATGGTAGCACATATTTACTCAATGCAGAAATCCTAAACTTGTTCAATGATTCCACTTGAAGTATTAATACCCTTGCAAATCTTATTATAACTTAGGGTTTCCATGGCAACTGCATCAACCCAAGTGCTGATTCCTGAGATACACCTCACTGACACTTTTGACACMTTTGCACTGGACTTCACCAGAGAAAAAAAACTGTTGGAGAATCTGGATTACCTCACAGGTAAGTCATCTTCATATGTTTACAGACACGTGACAAATAAATCTGAATCATTTTAAAGGTGTGTCACTGTACAAGGCTTGYTCTAGTTCAGGTTAAAGTCAAGGCATTTTCTCTTTAAGTCTTTCGATTGTGCTCCATGTTTAAAATAGTCTTCCAGTGTTCAAATTTGAATTAGTTCGAAGTTTCTGTCAAAGACTCCATTTTCAAAACTTTAAATTAATTTTTGTCGTTAACTCTGTCCCATTTTTCATGAGCCATCAAAATGCCACTGTGTAAATTATCTGGACACCATAGTTGAAACTAAAGGGTGGGAAAAAATGGCATCCCGTGCAATGATTTTAAAGGTCTGTGAAAACGACTGGCTCATATTTATTCGCTGCGATGCATGTGGGCTTRGCTGGAGGGCCTTTTTACTCAGTGAATCAGTCTGAATCACTCCACTTTGTGCAGCCACTCATGACAGAAGGCCTGGGATCGGGAGAAAGTGACAGACACAGAAAGAGATAAGAAGTGGCTTTKCAACCATTTCAAGCTGTGCCTTTGTATCATTGTTTCTCTACCACTTTATTATCTTTCTACAAGTAGCTTCATGGATTTAATTCAAAAGAGATTTGTTTTATTTAGTTCACTGTAGAGTAAAAAAAAAACAGTAAAAGTAATTTGATTGCAACAGTAAATCTACAGTCTCTGGGTATAAAGTGAGTTGTGCTTTCTTACTTTTAAAAAGATCATGATGTTCTTTACCAGCTGCATTACTATGATCATCTTTCCATCTTATTGCCCAATGCCAAAAAGCAGAAAAGACAGATTTTTATAAAAACATTCAGGGAAATAATAAGTGGATGTCCATTCATGTATTATTTCTTCACATAAAAATGATCATAATCTAAAACTGTAGCATAGAACAGTGGGCAAAATGCAAGTCCTTCAAGGATTACTAGGACTTAATTCTCTTTTTTCCTTTGAATATTGAACCTACTATTTGGAAAAAATATTTTAACCTATTTGGTGTGCTAAATTAAAACCCATAAACTCCTACAATAAGCCATACCTTTAAGTTAAAGCTTGGTGTTGAAACAAAACTTTAGTCTTTTATTTATTTTGAGATATAGGTACTGTATATTTCAACCTAAACAACAACCAAGCATATCTTCATACAAAGGCCTGCAATGTTTCTGTTCTTAATTTTCTACAGCTCCAAGTGCTCCGTGCATTAGGGAAGAGTTGTGCACGGCTTCATACGACACCATTAGTGTCCACTGGACGTCTGATGATGAATTCTCAGTCGTGTCCTACGAGCTCCAGTATGCCATCTTCACAGGACAGTCCAACATTGCCAGTAAGTGCACGTGTGAAGAGGGAAACTTAAATTAGGTTGGAGTCGATCAGCTGAAGTTTTTGCCAACAGCAAAATGGGTTTCAAGTGGTCTATTCAGGCTATGTTACAGGGACAGTGGGCTTTTTATGTGAACTCAAGTGTGTTTGAATGACTAGGAGAATCTTCCGTTAAAAGATGGTGAGGGTTTGGCTGTTGAGAGCTTTTTGAACACATTACCTTGGAAGGACAGTAAAACTGAAGAGGCCTATTCATGAGCATACTCATTTGCAGTTTAGTCAGTGGCTGTTGCATTCAACTTATAGGAAAAAGAACCATTTAGACTCTTAAAATGCATTTAARACAACCTGTTTTTAAAGCTTTTTGGAACCAAACTAGTGTAAGAACAACGTGATCAGAATTGGAGTTGGAATAAGTTTGCAGAAAACCATTTGGTTCTCTTCTAAAATGCTTTAAAAAAAGACTATTCCGTCAGTTCACAGCCCATCAGCAAGGCAGGGCCTGTGAGTTTGAGGCCCTGGGTCTGATCAGAAAAGCAAAACAAGCATCTGTCCTAAGCTGAACTAAAAAGAATGATGATGAATCACCCCCACAAAGTCACATGTACACCTAACTTCCTGGTCACACCGCTGGGGGCGGTACATTTTACATCACACATTGGAATGTAAAACAAGCTTTGTTTATGTTACAGAGTGGGACACWCTGATGGAGACTTCRCTGTTTAAAGTATATGACTGAGAATACAAGACTYGATCTTAAATTCAMTTAATAATACACCAAAGTTTCTTCACTTGGTTATAGGTGAACATGGAAATTGCTTAACATTTTTAAAACTAAATGTAGAGTTAACCAAAAGCAGCTTTGATTTTAGAGTAATCCCACAGATTAGAAATAAATATTGAGACTACACCTCATGCATGCTTAGTTTTGGTTTGTGTCAATTTATAGCAATTTTTATTCGTTTAACTTATCACCAATAACATTAAAAATAGTAAATTGTTTTAAARGTGAGCAACATCTCTTTAGAGAGTCTTTAGTCATGGTCAGCAAGTTCAACTTTTAATTGTTATTCAAGTTATTGTCATCATCTAGTGAATTTTTACTGCTCATCTACATGTAAAAAAGAAAAAAATATTTTCCTTTATAGAAAGAAAAGGCCCATTTAGGAAAAGAAACCAAACAAACACAAAAAAGAAAAAAAGAGAACTTTATTTAGAGACATACTGGGCAAACTGTGAATGTCAACGCAACTTTTTAATACACAGACGAGCCCTTGGTAGAAGAATTGGGCTTCAGTAGACATGTAGACATGAATTGCATTCTCTTCTCCTAAGCCATGCAGGTAACACAGAAGGAGTGAGACATTTTAGTAGAGATGACAGCTAGAAAGCAAATCAGWGTCACAGATGGACACTTAGTGACACAGTGTCCTGCAGAACAACACACAGACATACACATCCCTCAAATGCACGCAAGTCCTTAAAAAATGTTGTGCACACTAAWGTGAGCAACAGCTGCAAGGAAGAAAATGGGGTCAAGGCACCRGAAACCCAGGTCTCTTTCTGCCTTTCAATCAAACTGCCTTTTTCACAGTCTTTCATCTACTCATTTTCTGAAGGGTTCTTTAAAGATATAAACACTTCMCCTTTTTCCTCTCATTTTATTTTGCTTGAACTCTAATAAAGCCTTGCTTTATTCATTTCCTCTGTCTTTGTATTGCCACGTTTTTCATTACGCTCATAATTTCCTTTCTTAAAGCATATTAAGAAGTGAGGTTTTGACACTAATGTGTCATTTTATTTCTTTTATACTGTAATGTCCATGTCCTTCTCTGTTTAGTGAGAAAGTGTGATGTTTTATTCTCACTCTTATCACATTTACTAATGACAGAGGTGTTGCCGTCGGCATTGAAGTCAAGTGCCAGACAACTGCCTTTGGACTTATTCAGATAAATCACWGAGTAAGAAGTTCAAGCCTTGTCGCAAATCAGCTACACAAAACAATATCTCTAACTTGTGAACATTATTGTTCAGTGCCGGCTTGTGAGCTTTAAGTGTATGACTGCGAACTACGCAAATAAAAATGCATTGTTTACACAGAGCGTCATGAATACATCACACAACTGATGATGTCAGGTTACTCTTACACAAATTGATTCAGCTCTGTGACTACAGTCCTTTGAATGTTTGGATGCCTAAGAGCAGTGCTTTTATYAACCATATCAAAATGAAAAGACGGCACCACAGTCTGTTTACTGTTTTATGAAGGGAGCAAAAGTGCAAATTAGCACGCATAAGTTTGCAGTTTGTCTTGCTTTCTTGCCAACCTCCTTCATTTTGAGATAATCATTAATCATCCTTAAACATTTAAAGTCTTGATTTGTACTAATGTCAGTTTATATTTGATTTTCTTGAACAGAAAATCTACTACTGTCATATTTTATATGTTGCAGACAAGATATTTAATTTGTAGCTCATTGCTACAGTACTGGATGGCACTAACTGCTTTTTTATGTACGCAAAGTAGCATGTCTTAAAAGATGGTGGGACACATGGTGATGCAACATTATGGCTACGTTCACACTGCAGG